CCCCAAAACCCCAAAACCCCAAAACCCCAAAACCCCTGTTATCATGGATTATGTTGTAATAATTTATTTAAAATGGAATCAACTCAACAGAAATGGCAGATATTTAAGTACAAGAAGCAACTTGACACTCTTTGGAAGGAATACGATGCAAGCACAACTAATAGAGATGCTATGATACAGTTTGACCTTCTTACTTCAGTGGTAGTGAATTATAAGGATGTCATAAATACTTTTTGACAGAAAGGTATAGAAAATGAGCAGGATGAAGCTATTATTTTACAAGAGCTACCTATTGAGGGTATATTTTCCTACACAGACGAGCTCCTCAAGATCCTTGTTCAAAAATGTCATCTTTTCGGTGTCAAAATGCCTATTATTTTCGAACTAATTTTATTGTTTTTAAGAATTCCAAATCAGAGACAGAAGATTATCGGAATGCTAGATGAGGATATTCTGGATGCTATTTTGAAAATAATTCCAAAAATAGCAGCAAATACCAAGATTCTTCTCATTTTCACTAAAATTCTGTTAGAAATTTACCCAGATTTCTCAGTGGAACCACCAGCTTCAGAAGAGCTTCCTGAGAAGGAGAAGAAGAATAAGGCTCAAGAGCAGGACGAAGAGGGTACCAAAGAAGATGAGCCTCATGAAGAACAAAAGGGAGACCAATTTGGCTCCCAGTTTTGGAAAATGGCAAAAAGAGTCAAAGGAATCTTCGGATTCAAGAAAGAAGAACAGAAGGAAGAAGATTTTATGGACAAGAGTCTAAGTGAAGCTCTAAGTGGCAAGAGAGGACTTGACCAAGCTGAGAGAAATTTTGATGAAATCCAACAGTGAATCCACAATTTTCTGACACTTCATGACCAAAGAACAGCGATTTTTGAGATGGTAGAAGGAAACAACCAATCAGGAGTTGTGTGTATTTTGGCAAAGTATGCTAATAAGAAGAGAGATGAGGACAAGAAAGAGGAGGGAGCTAGAACTCCAATAAGACATTCCAAAACAATGCCTCAACCAAGAGTCGAAGAGGTACAAAAATCACCGTCTTTTATCAAGAAGATTCTGCTTCAGAATACACTGCGATTCCTCCTCTCTGGATGAAAGAGGTATAATGGTCTGTGATATTATTACTTCAAGAAGCTTTTCTCTCTAGCTGATTGAACTCATACAGAGGAAATTTCTGGATCAAACGGAAAGTATCTTATTAGGACCTTATCACTTGAAGAAATTTCCCAAGAAATAGTCATTATAGAATCAGGAGTTCCAGATTCAGTTATCTCTTCCTCTTTTATGGTCTATGATGGCATTAATGATTGAAACTTTGATTGTGATCTCCTGAAGGAGGAAGATGATAAAAAGTTCCAATATTTTAAATGTGAGAAAGAAGATTACAGTTCAAAGATTTTGATGGCTCAAGATAGTAAGAATGCAATATTATCAACAGAACCAAATGATCTTGGGTATTACAAGGACCTCATTAAGCACTGTATGTTTTTAGTCCAACATTATTCATGCTTTGAGAACAAGGGCATCTTATCTCATTTTCTTCATCAAAGTTTTGAAAATGTTGATGATTATATGAGAAAGCTGATACTTGACTGGATCTCGAAAGATATGCAACATAAGAGTTACAAATTGCAGGATAACTCCTATCAAGTTGATGATCAATTTGAAGTTGAGACAACTTTGTTCAGTTTGTTCAATTTATTCACTTCGGTAATTTCTGGTGAAAAAGTACTACCGGAAGAAGATTATGCAACAATTTATGAACTTCTTGTCCAATCTATATATCATCTTTCTTTTGTGAAAAGTTGAAATTTGGCTCCTATCCTAAGAGACTTACCCAAAGTATTAGCTTGTATTGATCCAAATGAGGGAGAAGGCCTTCAAAACTTACAGAGAAATTGTATTTACCTCATTTCTATCCTCATCAGGCTTTTCTGTGGAGTTGGCAATAAATTTGGAAGTATCACTGATCTCAAAACACAAGAAACAGAGATAATTTTAGAACTGGTTAAAGTACTGGACACTGGATCATTGAATGAAGAGCTAAAGCTTTGTTTGCTTAGTCACTGATATCTATACACTACTCATACCCATCCAGACTCCCCTTTGATTCTAAAGTTAGTTTCGAAGTATATCGAGCAGTCAGTTCTGCAAGAGTCTGATCTCTGTTTTGTAATTTTTAGGCGTTTCTACTTGCAATCAGGTTCCTGTGATTTTACTCAATTCTTAAAAGAAATCATGCAAATCTTGGATCTTGAATTTGGTAATTTTAGGCAAGAATATGAAGAATTACAAAAGAAAGGACAAGTTTTAGAAGAAGGCGATCTTGTCAATGGGACTCTAGTCTCAGAGGAGGTATATAGAGACGATGTTGATTACACAAACTATTTCCTCCAACTTCTAAAATATACTGGGGAGACTTTTACAAGTAATCTAAATATCCCTCAGAACTTTCAGAGTTTTCTGATAGAAATCCTTGAGTTTTTCGACATTTCAAGTGAAAACTATAATGCTGTCCTAAGATTTCTGTTTGATAATCTTTCACAAGGAATTCGAAGATTTGATGATTGAAAATTTCAGTCAAACTTTATGAAGCAGAAAGTTAATTCTCTATTTCTGGAGCACCTCTTAGAGGGTCTGAAAAAGTCAAGTTTTAGTGTTAAAACCGAGTTTCCTGCAACCCCAGATTCTCTTTCATTGGGTAGCTTTTTGTCAGAAAGAGAGGCAGTAGCTGCCCTGAGTGGTAAAATTTACGAGGCTGGTAGATTTGCCTCTTTTCCTTCAATAAAGAATGGCTTCACCTGTATTTTTGCCTTCAAGATGAAGAGACTGTATGAGAATATGATGCTGCTGACTTTTATTAATAAAGAGAATAAACCCATCTTTGAAATCTGGTACAACTGTGAACGAGAGTTTCTTGAGTATGAGAAGGTTGAAGAATTCCTGAAAGATCTGGAAAACCCAGATCATGAAGGTGAGGGTAGGAATTCCTACCTTGAATACATTGAGACTTCTCCATATATCTTGAATCACTCTTTCGAAATCAAGTTTAATGGCGACTTTGAGGGACACAAGATACTTTGTAAGAGTGATAACTTTTTAAAGGTTGGAGAAGTTGCTCAATTTGGGTTTATACTGAATAAAACCGATCTGGTGATTTATCTCAATGGAAAAGAAGTTGGAACCACTAAGCCTGAGGCTTTAAAAGATACTCCTTCTAGAGCTTGCTTTCAAGCTGTTGATAAAACACTTTCATCAGTTTCGATATTTGAAGGAGTATTCACACCAGAGGTTTTTGATGAAGTGTTTTCCTCTGGAGAGAGCTATCTCCATAGACTTGAGATTTTACCTTGAATTAAGTCAATCAAAAATACAAAATTGTTTTGAAAATTCCCTTGCAATTTGAAAAATGTAAATATTTCTACGAGTTATAAGACAAAAATAGAGATATGTAAGGAGTCTGAGGAGCAAATTGATATAAAATCATGTGGAAAGCAAGCTAATATCAAGATTAGCCCTATTACCCAGAAAGACTTTTATGAACTGGATATGCCATTGAATTCTCAAAAATAAGAAAGCATTTGTTGAGAATTTGTATAAATATCCTGTCAGTTATACTCCTACATTGAAAGAGTATCTGTCTAATTTAGAATATTTTGCATTGCTGACAGGAATACTAGAAGAGAATAAGGATATAGAGATTTTAACTATCACTTGTGATATATTGGCACAAATTATCGTAAAGAATCCTGATTTTTATCAAAATGTACCTGAGGAAGTAATGTGAGAAAGATTTTTGAAGATTTCAAGAAGATATTGCTCTGAAGATCTTTACATTCCAAACTTCACAGACCTTCTATTTAAAATTCTATCAGATACATATACCCTTCCAGATGACTTCCAAACGCAAAGAACTGGTCAAAGTTATAATATCTCACCTCCAAAATCAACTTTCCTCCCATTTCTGTTCACTCTCTCCAAAATTCCCAAAAATGATTCAAATCCTTCCCAACCCCTGTTCTACCCCATCCTTGAATCCCTCGCTTTGCTCCTATCTAACAAGCCCAACTTTCAAATCTTCCTCACATCAGTTCCGCTCAAAACCTTCTTCTCTTGCTTAATCCACTTCCCAGATCCTTCCTTACTCAAAATCCTCGAACTGTACCTCTCCCCTGCACTACATTCCTCTACTTCCTCCGCACATGTCCAAATCTACAGTAGCATAATAAATTTCTTGATCTTCCTGACTAAATTTCCACAGTACTCACAACTTATAGGGTTCTGAATTTTGGGATTCATGAAGGAGATAACTAAGAAACTACTGTTCTTTCTGTGGGCAGCCGGTGTCGGCAAGGAAGAAGTGATCAAGATGGCTGAGGCGTTAATTAGAGGAGCATTGGTGAGTTCTGATTTGGAAATTATGGAATTGATTTTGGAGATGGTGAAGGTGGCTGGATGGGAAATGGGAGGGTATAGTATGGAGCAGAAGGGAAGGATTTTGGAGCTTGTTTATGAATATGTGAGGGATATGGAGGTGGTTAGTGAAGGGATTTTCGAGGTTATTTGGAAGATTGCAGTGGGGGTTGGAGTGTCTAAGGCTAAGATTTTAAAAATTGCTGAAAAGCAACCCCAGGATGTACTTGATTTGAGGTATTGAGGTGAGGTAAAAGAGGTTCCTCCTGAATCAATTCAGGAAAATGAAGTCACTTCAGTTGTGCATCCTATTATGATCAGATGTATAATAGAAAACATCCATAAGCTCCCTGAAAACCATCAAAACTACTGAGAGAAATTATGGCAAAGAATTAACAAGATCATGGAAGCCAACGAAAAAGTGTCATCTGACCTTCTTCAACATAATTTCCTCCAAAGTTGGTACAAATTCACACTGGACACTAAAGACCTGCATCTCACTTCCTAAAAAATCTATAATTCTACGTACTAAATTCCTTAAGGGGTTTTGGGGTTTTGGGGTTTTGGGGTTTTGGGG